CAACTGTCAACTGGAGGTAGGAAAGGTTTGTTTACATGATTCTGGTCTGTTAACCAAAGCTGTTATTTCAGAACATGAGTCTGATTAATGGGCCTAGGGATTGAAGCACTGCTGGAAGATGAGGAATATTCAGTAGTGGCCGTGAAAATAGCGAGCACACAACTGCAGGAAAAGGGCTGATCATTATACAATAAATCTTGAATGCGTCTAGTGTGGAAGCATTATGTTATTGTTAAGGTGCAATCACTGCTTGCTTGCTCTCGCTTTCAGCTACCGCCACTGGCTAGCTCTCGTGGTGAACAGGGAAACAACTTGCATAAGTCTTCCCCTGTCAGTACACAGCCTCTTCACCATCAAGAGTCCTGCTGTGCCTCGTCATGGCAACACTCGTTGACTGGGTGCCTTGTGATCCCAGGCTAGACCAGCAGGGGATCTCGGAGTAGCAGTGATCCCAGAAGAACGGCGCATAGGCCTACTGGCATGTGGACACCCTGGCGCCTACCAATCATTGCCCCGCTGCCTTGCAGATTAACCTTCGTAGGTATAAGGCTACAGGAGCAAACCCCGAACGAAAATTCTGCGGTTGAGCCCTGCATCAGGCAGATATGCTTGCAGAGCTCCAACAAGACCCCAACGGCGGTATAGGTTGAAGAAGTGACCACCATGGGAACCCAATGCCTACGCGGGCAACGCATGATGGACAGGCTACTAAGGTGAAGCCCAACAAACTGGGCTATCGGCAGTCCATTGCAACTCTCCCTCTCCCCAGTCGTTGAAAAACTTGCACCACTAGATCAGGAAAAGTGAGAGCCAAGATGTGTGGTTGCAACCTGTGCTCCTCCCTCACCAAATAAATCAACTCAGGTGCACAACTCTGCACAAATAAGATGGTCGTTCATGCACTGGGATCTAGGTAGCAGTGCAATCCGGTCCTGTCTGTGCGACTGAGCAGCCCTTTCGAGGAGCCACTCTGCTCACCCCACATGGGGAGGGGGCTAGAAAAGGTGCCCTAAACGTAGTCTGCCTAAGAAAACCAAACAATCTGACTGGGCAACCACACCCAGTGAGGTCATCCTTATGCGGTCGAAAACACAATCATAATCACAGATCCAAACAAAAACAAACTATGCAACCTCTTATGGTCGCTTCATGGAATGTCAGGACCCTTCTGAATGCTGGCACAAATGAGCATCCTGAAAGAAGAAACGCCCTTGTGGCAAAAGTGCTGGCTTGGTAAGGCATCGACATAGCAGCCATTAGTGAATCCCGGCTCCCAGACGAGGGTCAACTCAAAGAATGGGGGTCTAGCTATACCTTCTTCTGGAAGGGTAAGCCTACTGCGGAGAGGAACCGCATTTATGGACTTGGCTTTTGCCATCCGCCAATGCATCCTACTCAGGCTAACTGAAATGCCTATTGGGATCAACGAGCGTCTCATGACGCTCCAAGTCCCATTGAATCACTCTTTTGGAAGGGTAAGCCTGTTGCAGAGAGAAAACACATTTATGGAGTTGGCTTTGCCATCCACCAACCCATCCTACATAGGCTAACTGAAATGCCCATTGGAATCAAAGAGCGCCTCATGACGTTCCGAGTTCCATTGAATCACTCACGTCATGTTATTTTCAACAGTGCATATGACCCAACACTGGATGCACAGGATGACATCAAGGAGGTCTTTTATGCCGACCTTGACAGAGTGCTAACCTCGATCCCCAGAGAAAATATGGCTGTGCTCCTTGGTGACTTCAGTGGCAGATATGCTGACATTTGGCAGGGAATCATAGGAAGAAATGGACTAGGCAAGTGTAATCCAATCGGTCAACTCCTGCTCAGCAAGTGTGCTGCACACAACCTCACTATCATCAATACCTTGTTTAAGCAGGCCGACAAGTTCAAGGGTTTGTGACAACACCCACAATCCAAATACTGGCATCTCATTGACTACATCATTGTCAAAGAAAGAGATCGCGACACTGATCATTGGCTCGTCAGAGCCAAGCTATCACTTCACGTCACCCCAAAACGGCTAAGGCAACAAGCCTCCAATATAGATTTTAACACTAAGCGTCTGGAGGATCCAGCGATAGTACATGCTTTCAGAGAGCAGCTCGAACATGGGCTCATAAACAACCCGAGAACAAACAACCCAAATCCCAGGGCCGAATGGGATATTCTCGACACTGTGATGAAAAAAACCTGCAGAGAGACCCTCGGCCAGATCGAAAGAATACACCAGGACTGGTTTGATGAAAATGACCCAGCAATCAATGTACTCATGGATGATAAACGTGCTGCTTTAACTGACTGGCAGAACAACCGAAGCTGATACCTCCCGTAAGAAGAAAGCAGCCGCCCAGAGCAAACTTCGCAATCTAAAGACCGACTGGTTAAAAAATAAAGCATGTGAAACACAAAAAAATTGCAAATCAGCACAAGATGCGCGAATTCTTCAATACTACTAAAACATTTTATGGGCCAATCACTCGTGGCGCAACGCCCCTTCGTTCATCTGACAGTAACTCCCTAATTAAAGACGATGAAGGTATCCTTCAGCGATTAAAAGACTATTACCACTCACTGCTCAACCTAAGCACTGATATGGATGTCCTGATTACCCAGCAGGTCTCTTAACATCCAGAACTGACCCAGCTCAGCTATTCTCTTTCCTTGGATGAGGTAGCTACTGCCATCAAACAGATGGAAATAACAAAGCCTCAGGGCCTGATGGAAGCCCAGGCGAGGTGTATTTTTTTTTTTAATGGTGATTAGCCCACCCGGGCACAGATCACTGACTCACATCAGGGCCTGGGGGGCGAAAATGTAATAATAATAATAATAATTAATATTAAATACAATTTATAATAAAATACAAAATTAAAAATAAAATAATGATAATTCACAGTAAATAAAATTTATAATAGAAATTACAAAATTAAAAATAGAATAATAATGATAATAATAATAATAATAACAACACTAATAATAATAATAATGATAATAATAAAGAACCATAAAGAAATGCAAAAATGAAAAAATCAATAGTGAGAAACAATATATGTATGTTGTGTTGTCAAAGTAAGAGAAACAATTGAGACCTTGCAATTGTGTGTAAATGAGGCAGATAGTCAGATCTGCAACCTGGGACTTGGTCAGAATTTTTGTGATGCCATATAGCAACAGGGAGGACCTCTGCTTATCAGCCATCTTCACTCTCTCCTGGAGAATATATGGGAAAAGGAGGAAATCCCCCAATCTCTTAAAGACACCTCCATCGTCAATATTTATAAGAACAAGGAAGACCTGTCAGACTGTGGCAACTACCGTGGGATCTAGCTGTTGTCCGTAGCTGGCAAGATTATTGCCCGAGTCCTCCTAAATAGACTTCTTCCTAAGGCGGAAAACTTCCTCCCAGAATCTCAATGTGGCTTTACACCATCACGTGGCACCACTGACATGATCTTTGCTGCCCGCTAGATACAGGAAAAGTGAAGAGAACAGCATCATGACCTGTATATGGCTTTCATTAACCTAATCAAGGCCTTTGACTCGGTCAACAGGGAAGCCCTCTGGTGGACCCTCAGCCGTTTTGGCTGCCTACCAAATTTAATCGCCATTGTGAGGAAACTCCACGATGGCATGAACGGCACCCGGTCTGAGTTCTTCCCCATCCAAACGGCGGTTAAACACGGATGTGTATTGGCACCAACTCTCTTTTCCATTTTCTTGTCTGTCTTCCTTACTCGTACTAGTGCTCATTTAGCCAGATGAAAGGTCTTTTCAACATAAGACGACTCCAAGCAGGAACAGAGGTGTCGGCAGCTTCCAATACTGAACTTCAGTATGCAGACGAGTTTACTCTTGTCACTCACACTAAACGTGAACTACAGGATATCCTGAACACCTACGCAGATAAGTATGCGCACTTCGGCCTGCCCCTGGTTCAGACACACCTCCACCATCCACCCAGTTTACAGTCACCAAACGAATAATAAACATTACGCTGGCGGGCAACAGAAAAGGTATAAGATGGTCTTAAGACAAACCTGAAAAAGTGCCAAATCGATCCCCTCGCCTGGGAGACGATTACTGCACACCTTAACGCTTGGAGGAGCACCATACAAGAAGGTGTCAATACTTTCGAGTTAGCCCGACTGCATAACGAGGCATACAAGCTTCAACGCCGGAAAGACGCTGCCGCCGCCCTTCCCACACTAGATATAGCTCACACATGTGTAACATCTGTGAACTACCCTGCTGGTCCCGTATCGGCCTCTTTAGTCATTTCAGAAATCACCAACATAGGTGATATCCTTAATAACTCATATCATTGTTTCATAGCTGGATGATCGTCATACCCGATTCCGAGTGACATCAAAGTAGTAGTAGTAATAAAATATTGACACATTACAACTTAGCATTAATTACAGGTATGATATGTAAAAATAAGCTACATTTAATTGTAATTCCAACATTGATCCTACATAAATACATAATAATATGTTTGTTTTTTGTTTTTTAATTCAAGTGTACTCTCACATTAGTGATTTGTATATAAAATATTTTGCCATAATTGGTGCACTACGTACAGTAGTCTTCGTGGGGGTTCGTATAACTGTTTCACGAGGGCTGTTGCACTTGTTAATGTAAGGTTAGAAAATGTGTTCCTTAGTGGTTGGTGCACCTATTTTTCTTTTTTTTTTAGAGTTAGAGCACCTGTTTTTAATGTATACCGGTTTTAGGGGATTAGAGTTCCTGTCTTCTAAGTGTCAGTGCACTTGGCTTGTTAAGGGTTTGAGCAAATGTTTTTTTGTTTTTTTTTTGAATGGGTACATCTGTTGTTTAAGGATTGGAGAACCTGTTAAGTAAGGGTTAGTGCTTTTTTTTTTAAAGATTAGAGCACTTTATTGTAAGGAGCGGTGAGCCTGTTTTATTAGGGTTAGTATGTTGATTATAGCTACGAAATTAATTATATAATAAAGTAATTAAGACATAAGGAATTTAATAAAACAACTTTATTGAAATGTAGTTATAAGATATTCACATATCTTATAACTTCACTTGTGATATCTACAGTAGAGGATCAAAATTTCTGTCTCTGAATGTGCATTAGTTATGTATGCTTCACAATATCCAAAAGGCCAGCAGATATGTATCTACATTAAATTGAATTTCTTATATTAATGTCCCTTATAAATCAAAGTAAGAATCTTATATATGAGTCTGGCTGCATGTAATATAGTGTATTTTTGTGAAACTACATGTATCACTGGCTTTATTTATCCCCCATAATTACTGAAGAGAATTAACACAAGATAAAAATAATATATGAAAAGATTTTTTCAGAAAAAAATTACATGGTATTAAAATAAGTTTTCTTTAATCAAACACATCAGCTAACTTATATCACCATACATGTTATAGCTAATACATTTGTAAATTAACACATGATTTTGTTACATTATTCTGAAAATCTGATTTGACAAAATAAGAGGTGAAGTAGTGTCAAGATCCTACTACTAATACTATTACTAGCATTTTAGTATAAACAGCGCTAATTTCATTGTTAGATTCAATAATATGACTTTTACTTGAAGCTTCGTGCCAGCTTCCTCCAGCCATATTAATTTAATTTTAGAAATTCGCTTTCTTATTGTCTGTAATATCATAAGTGCATTTATTTCGTCGACTGCGCATCATCAGCTGTTTTCTTAGTTGACAGATAATTTTATTTTATTTTAATGTGAGTTTCACCCCTGCCATGTCACAGTCGTCGTCTATATCCAAAAGAGATAAAGTTGAGTGTTGTCCCAGCACAGGTGTGAAGTTTTCCTGAAGCTAAAATCGCCAGATTGGACAACCACTGGAGGAATAATAGGGATCAACACCAAGTATGAGCATTAAGCATCTGAGCTGTTGTAAGTTTCATTTACATTGACGGCACCTATGTCAC